CACGAAGGAGCAGCTGGAGGAGCACCTGCAGCCGCTGCCCGAGCACGACTACTTCGAGTTCTTCGCCAACGACTCCAGGTAGGGCCCGGTCGCTGCGCCCTCCCGCCTTCCCGGCCCCTGGGCCCCCCGGCCGCCGCCAGCGCCGCCTGCCCGCCGCTCTTCTCTCCCCGCAGCCTCTACCCGCACATGTTTTCGAGAGCCTACATCAACTTCAAAAACCAGGAAGACATAGTCCTCTTCAGGGATCGCTTTGACGGCTATGTTTTTGTGGATCACAAGGGTAAGTGTGCAGCGCCTCATGTGTGTGTATGCAGGGGGTTTGCTGGGGTTTAGAGGGGTGGGCAGCAGCTGCCCAGGGCTACTGCTCAGACCTTTGTATCTTAAACTAATGTAATGCTACATATTGCTGTTAAACAGAGCTCGTTTCACATGTGTTAATGTTCATCATTGTTCATGAGGCTTCAGAAAGGCTTAGTTGAGATAATCTACTCGCAATATAATACCTGCAGTTGCATTCCTGGAGTTAATACTTGTATGGTGCCTCACCCCACCTGACTGTCAGATCTGAAAAGTGAAAGTGAGGGTGTTTCCCCTCTCCAGACCAGACTAAGCTGGAGCTAATGGCTCCTCCCTCCCCGTGTTACACATTCCTAGCGATGACAGACACTTCTTAGTTATGCTTAGACTTAACTCTACTTTATAGATGAATGAGCTGTCCTGAAACAGCACGTATTTGTTAGAAGCTTGTTTATTGCTGTTTAAAAGAAAAGTTTTTATTCTGTGAAATCTGTTGTCTCTAGAATGCTAATTGATGAAATAGCCTTCAAAATGTAAATATGTTGCTTACGGTATCTGAGTAGCCTTTTCTAGTATTATGTATTTCATATATGACTCATTTTCGTGTTTTAGGTACGTACAATGTGCGCTCTTTAAATCTCCTTCACCTAAAACTTGTTTTTGCCCTCACCTTTTAACAGGTCAGGAATATGCAGCCATAGTAGAGTTTGCACCTTTCCAAAAAGCTGCAAAAAAGAAGAGTAAGAAAAAGGATGCCAAAACGGGGACCATTGAAGACGGTATAACAGCTAGCTTGTTTGTTTGTGTAAGAGTGCACACACGGAGCCTTTATGGGCCGTGGCCTAGCACAGCTTTGCGTTATGTCTAACATTTTTGCTGTGGTACTGTAGTGTTTCAGCAGAATGTGTACTTAGTTATATATGAAGCTTATTAGCGATGCTTTCTCAGATGCAATCTAACCAAATCTGTCACATGTTATTGTCTAAGACAAACGTGATGCAGCAGCTCATTTGAAGAGTGTGTTGCTTATGCATTTCCTTTTCATGACTTGAAAGCATATGCAAATATGTGCCGAGCTTACAGCAGTGTACAGTATGTTTGTTTGTTTATTTGCTTGTGGGAGTTTTTTGTTTTTGTTTTTTTAATACCATAGCACATCTTTCTGACTTGTGGGTTTTTTTTTGTAGATCCAGAATACAAGAAGTTTCTGGAAAGTTACAGTGCAGATGATGAAAAATTAACCTCAACTCCTGAAACTCTACTGGAAGAAATAGAGGCAAGAAACAAAGAGCTGATAGGTATGAAAATCTGTATGCTCTAGTTACTTTTTTTTTTTTTCCTCTAGAATGAAAAGAGAATTTTCTGTTGTATAATTTCAACTTGTGATATCAGGACTTTGAGGAGAATGCTTTGAGGAGCACTTGTCTGTGTGTTATTTGATACTGCTGAACATTTATACCAATATTGTTCAGTGTGCTTTATTTTGCCTTCCATACCCTAAATTCCTCTCTCAGTTTAAATCCTGTATGATATTCCCTCCTGCTTCAAGCTTGGATGGTGGTTAGCCAGACTAGGCTATGCAGCGGCTCCACTTCCATGGCAGCAGTGATACTTCATACAAAATGCTATGGGCAGGCAGAAGTTAAGCTATATTCTGTTTGGCTAAAATGCACAAGAATATGCATATTATAAATATATATACATTACAACATTATATTAAAAGCATCCCTCTCAAAGAGAGGAAAGCTAAGAAAAACATAATGCTGACTGAATATCCCTTTACACATAGATGTACTGACTAGCATAATAGTCTCCTAAACCGATTATGGAATTTTAATTGTTATCATCGAGATAGGCCGGGTAATGCCATAAAGCGCTTTCATTTCATGCAGGGGTTTAGCTCTAGATGTTACAGTACTGAGTATGACAAAATGCTAACATTTGCTTTCATGTATCCTTTAGCTAAGAAGACTACTCCCTTACTGAACTTCCTGAAAAATAAACAGGTGAGGCTTTTCTCTGGAGTATTCTTGTTGCTTATAGGTACAATAATGTGCTCACACAGGGCTTGGGTAAGTATGTTGTAGTCTGTATATCTATATGTTTCTGCCTTTTTCTTTGAAGAAAAATGTGTATTCTGTGCTTTATTATTATTTTATATTATTTTCAAAGCAAAGGCAGATATTATTGTAGAAATGAAAATCTACTGCTTTTAATGTTGGTTTTAAGAGAAGCGGATGTTTTGAGTGGCAAAACAGATCTTACGTGGTGAGCAAAGTGCTGCATGGAGGAATAGAAGAAATGTACCTTCAGGCTGTTCATGTGCCTCTGAATGTCTGATTTTAGATGTTTTGACCTAACCTCCTTGTTAAAATGTGTATTCACATTTATTAAAAGGGTGGAACAGTGGCCTGAGTTGTCTAGCATAGTGCTAGATGTGATCAGAAGGCGCGTAAAGCACCACGCTCACATCCGTGGCACCAGCAAAACAGATTTTGCTTTAATGTTTTCATTTTAATGCAATTGTGGCAGAGGTGCTTGTAGGTAATTCCTATTCTTGATCCTTCTTCTAGAACATAATCTTGTTTTAATTTTTAGCAACAGGATAATCAGCCTCAGCACAGCAGAGGCAGATTTAATTAAAATTAGAATGAGATAGTCTGGGGTTAGTGTTTTTTCCACTCTCATTGTTCTCATAAACCTTAACTTGTGCAGTCTAAATAAATAAGCAAAAGGAAAAAAAAAACACTGAAATGATGCTGTAGTGTGTTAGGTTCACAACAATAAATAGAACCGATGGGACTTTTTAAAACAATAGTGGTGATTGAGCTGGGTGGCTTTGTGTTGGAATATTACCTCACTTTGTACCTGGGTATCCTGTCAGGCTTAAAGGGATACTCTTTAGTGTGGAAATATATTATTTCTCTCTACTTTGTGCACACAGAGGCTGAGAGAAGAAAAAAGAGAGGAGAGGAGGAGGAGAGAACTGGAAAGGAAAAGACAAAGAGAAGAAGAAAGAAGAAAGTGGAAGGAGGAGGAGAGAAGGAAGAGAAAAGAAGCGGAAAAACTGAAGAAGGTAGACAGATGTCCAGAAAAAGAAAGGGACAGATCAAAAGAAGAGCCAAAGATTAAGGTCTAGAACAGTTCTTTATTATAAGCTGTTACACTCCCTTTTTCCTGATATTTGTATATAAGTATTTCAAAATGCGCTGTGAGTATTGGCTGAAGAATCACATGAGTTTGGTGTTAGTAAATTGCACTTTTTTGTAATATTCAGTCTTAGGCATTATAAAGGTTTGCATACTGTAGCGCTTCCTAGTATTATGTAAAGCTTTTGTCATATGACTTTTGTACATGCTGTGGAGAATAGAACTATGAATTTACTATGTAATGGAGATTATTTTTAAGCTTTCTAACATGGCCTGTTATAGGAGAAATATCCTAGTCTGCAGTGTGGATTATGCTTACTCATACACTCCAGCTTTTAGAAGTATTAATGTTTATTTCTTACTGGACCCTGGTTTCCTTGATTTGATGCGATTTCGGTGTTGTGCCAGACAATATGTATTAGAGTGAGCTTTTTAGTTGAGACTTCTGTTTTCTTTGTAGTTACTTAAGAAGCCTGAAAAAGATGAAAAAGACTTGGAGAAAAAAGAAAAATCCAAGAAACTGGAAAAAGAGACTCTAAGGGAGGAAAAAAATGCGAGTAGTGCATCTGCCAAACGATCTGATGGGGAGACAAAAGAAGAGAAGGCAAAAAAGTATTCTAGTACTTGCTATAAATATATATTTGTATTTATAACTTGTTTCCTGAACATGCTGAGGCTCAAGCTGCTCTGCCATGACCATGTTTTGAAATTCCTTTCGAATAATTTTTCTGATACAGTGCATGGGGAGTGATGTCTGTGGCAGTGCACATCCCATGATAACAAGAAGCTGTGTGTGTTTTCTGATACTTCTTCACAAACGGATAAACCTTAATATTTTTGCAGCTTGCTGTAGGAGCCTTGCAGTGGAAGCCTAACTGTAGGTGACACACAGCAGGGCTGTGGGAACACCCCTTGCAATTGGAGAGCTATAACCATGGCATGAGGAAAAGGATACGCTGGTTACTAGTCACTAAGTCTTGTAAAAGGTCAAAGTGGAAAGTCTTAATTCTCAACACCTCTGGGATCTACTCAAAGCTCAGTTCTGCCTCGTGCCAGAAACGAGGCAGAGAAACGTAGGTGCTTTCCAAAGCCGCAGGAGACCCGGCCAAATCTGTGAGTAGAAGGCTAAGAATTGCTAGCACCCAGTGTCACCCCTGGTTATCGTGCATGGCTCTGGTTAGGACAGCTGCCCGAAAGCTCCCTAGAATCCAGCAGTCGTCATCCTCATATTGCAAATTTGCACCAGTATTACGTTGATCTCCCAGCTCTGTTTGATGAATCTTTTGAGCTTAATTTTCAGTTTTGTTTTTATACAGGTCAGAAGATGAGTGTGTAAAGGACTACAGGGACCGAGATAGAGATTTTGAAAGAGACAGAGAATATGAGAGAGCACAGAGGGAGAAACTGAGACGCCAAGAAGAGGAGCGTCGGAGGCAGAAAGAGCGCTTTGAGAAAGAGAAGGTTTTTAGAAGAAAAGAGGAAGAGGTGAAAAAGGAGAGAGACTTGCTCAGAGAAAAGGGAAAGAAAAGTGATCTCACAGACTTTACCAGCAACACAGACAAACCTGAAAAAGTAACCAAAGACGATAAAAAAGAGGATACAGTTAAGAGGGATCGTATCAGAAACAAGGTGCTAGTTCTCTTCCTTACATTAATCAATAAGGACAGATTTGTCTTTTTTTAAAGATAAACACACTTTAAGGAAAGGACCGTGTGGCTTTTCTTGTAAAATCTCTCCCCTCTTTGGTAGTCAGCTTTACCATTATTACAAAGCTTGTCCCTTTGACTACCAAATTTGTAAACCACTTATAGTTTTTCTTGTCACTACATAGGATTTAAGTCAAGATAATATCGAGTGTCATCAAAGTCTAAGTTCTCTGGTGCCTTTTTATGTGCTGACTTACACGTATACCGTGTACCTTCAAGTTGTCATAGTCTTCAGTAATATCTTGGGGTACCTCTGCTGAAGCTCTGTGTTTGAAAGCACATCTCCAGGCAGGAGAGCAACTGAGCAGATTCCTCTAAATCAGAGGCAAAACCCCCACATGCGGAGTAGGCTGGAGGGTCTGCTGTGTGGAACCTGATAATAGGGTCCTGAGTTTGGTCTTGCGCACTTTGCAAATAATCAATTTTTGCCACATTGATATACAAGTTTTCCATGTCACTTAGACTGTATTGGATACAAATGAAAAAGCTTTGAAGTAGGCCTCTAAGGGGGAGTGAACTTTGTGAGTATCTCAAAAATAAAACCAAAACTTAGTGTGAATGCTTTCAAGCACATGCGAGGTTCTTTGTGCCTTGAACATGGGCCTTGCCTTGCACAGGAGGCAAGCTTGGTGGACCCATAAGCAACAAGCTAGGTGAAGTTTCATTGTTACTATGGTGGAATATTCTAATCTTTTCAAAATGCTCTAAGTTAAATCTGAGCAGTTTTTAGCATCTCTGATGCCACAATAACTGTGCATTAGGTCTATCAAAGAGTCTAAGTAGTTTTGATTTGTTGCAGGATCGTCCAGCAATGCAGTTGTACCAGCCGGGAGCCCGAAGCCGAAGCAGATTGTGTCAGTATGAAGACAGTGCCGCAAAGCCCACAGATCAGGGAGCAGATAAAAAAACAGAGAATGAGACGAGTAATACGAAGGAAGAGGAGTGATTAGCACACATGCCTTACGTGTTCTGACTGTCTGTGCAGCCAAAGAGCTTGTACTACGCAATCCAGAAGTGCCTTCGAAGCGAAGAAGGAACACAGGAGGAAAAGGGGGCATTGTGCTGTTGGATGTTTCTGGCTAAAGAACCTCAGTTGTAGATTCAGAATTTGAAATGTGTTCTCATTGTATTTTCAGTTTTTTGAATTTCTTTTCCCAGCAACTAACTGCAACAGAGAAGAGAATTTTTTTTTTTTTTTGCAAAGCAGAAAAGACTTTGTGGCCTTAAGTGTGATAATAAACGAATCGTGCAGTCAGGAAGAGATGGCAGCTGGATCTAAAGCCAGAGCTTTACTTTAAAGAAAGCAGGAGCCTGTATGTGATGCACTTGAGCAGGGCGAGCGAGGAGCCTCCCCCAGTTAACATAGGTTTGCCGTGTCGCAGGGCGCTCCTGCCCCGGGCAGGAGCACTTAGACGGTGTCCCTGTAGCAGCGAGACAGGTAAGCAGGCTGGGTGCCGGTAGCACAAGGAGGCTCCGCGGGGAGCGGGGAGCCGCCCGCCCCTGTGTGCGTGACCGAGCCGGA